CCTGAGCTTAAAGGAGTTATTAAGAATTTCAATGAAATTAATTTTGTGCAATGGGAATTAGTCGGCCCAACCAAATTCAAATGACATTTGATTTGTTCACAGGTCCACAGAATGAGTCAGAAAGAAATCAGAACCCGAAGCAAATCAAGTTGTCAGCTAAGTCATTTGGTTGGTACTTGTAGGGAACTTCCCCCTGCTGAGCTGACCACAGCCAGAGATCTGTTGGGGTATGGTTTGTTCAGAAGAGAAATGAATGAGGAAGACAGAAGGAATTACCCAGTTGATCACCTGGTTAACAACGACATTGTTCCTGGGCTACTGGCTCATTGGAGAAAGGCCAACGCTCTATTCACAGGACCTGTAATCAACACTGAGGTTAGGATCAAGTCTAAAATGAAGGCACTGTGGAATATGGCATTGAAGGTGTCCATGGGCAATGTGAATCTACAGGTCAAACCTAAGTTCATGATGAAATTGGACAAATTGGTGGACATCCTGACATGTCACTGTGTGATGAGAAGCTGCAGTGAGCTTGGGTGCAACCCTGTTTGCAACAGGAGCTTGCCTTCATCAGAGGTAAGAGAGAAAAGGTGGGTAGTGTTGGGTCACACCAGATGGGTTTAGCTGATCGCCCTGAGACCAGGAAACAGGAAGCAGTGCTGTATAGATAGCGGCAGAAAAGGAAGGCCGAAGAGAAGAGGAGGAGGAAGGCAGAGGAGTCAGCCAAGAAAGAAGAGGAGTTGAGGAAGGAGTCACTACTGGAGATGGAGTTGGAGGAGACTGGAGATACACCGGAGAAGGCAGAGAAGAGGACGAAGTCTTCATGTCAAAGACTGCAGCAACTTCTTCCTTGCCTGTGACTAAGAAGAAGAAATAAAACTACAAATATCACCAACATAGCTCTGTCTAGCTTGAGACATCATACTGGGTGGAGAGAGACTGCAGAGATTGCCACTGGTGTCCGGATTGATTCTGGTCTTATCATAGAGTCTGACACAGCACTGGTGATTGACCACAAGAAGGTGAGGAGGGCTCAGGAGAGACTGATTATGGAGTTGGCTAAGAAGTTTGATGAAGAGATTAGAGAAAATGGCACCACCTGTATCTTCTTTGATAGGGGAATAGATGTAACCTGAAGGAACTAACAGGTAGTTTCCCAGAATTGTTAAAGAAACACACTATACAGTGCAATGAACCAGGTGGGAAATATTTGTGGCATTTTGTACCAGAGGAAGCTACAGAGGAGAGGAGTCATGCTGAGGTCATTGCTGATCATTTAGTGAACTGGCTAAAGGAGAGAGGAGCAGACCAGAATCCTTTTGGCCATAGGTGACAGCACTAATGTGAATACTGGCTGGGAGGGAGGAGTAATGCATTAGGTAGAGGCCAAGCTCGGCAGAAAGTTGGTGTGGATTGTCTGTGACTCGCACACGGGGGAGCCGAGTCTCAGACACCTAGTAACTGCACTGGATGGAAAGACATTGAGCAACAACAAGTGGTCGGGGCCTTTAGGGAAGATGTTAGACACTTCCACTCAACTGGAGATCCGCCCAAGGCTCAAAAGGATCACTGTTGGTCCTCCTCTACCCAATCTCAGCGCAGACCAATTATATGGATACAGAATCATCACGGTCAACAGAACAAAAGAGGTAACTCAGAGTCTAGCTCTCTTGTAGATTGGGCCATTCCTGTCACAGTAGGTGGCTCACCACTGCTTTAAGGTTATGCAGATTGTGGATTTCCAAACCTGGGCTGAAGGGTAGGAACCTGAAACATCTGAGGATAATTGTGGAATTCATAGTGGGAGTCTATATGCCAAACTGCTTCAGCATCAAGTTAAGTCACAGCTGGGTGGAGGGTCCCAGGTATGTACTGTAAAAGCTGAAACTGCTCACAAGTCAGACGAAGGAGTTCGTAGGAATAGTGATGCCTACAGTGAAGAGATCAGTCTGGTATGCACACTCTGAGGCTGTGCTTCAGGCCATTCTGTGTAGTGAGGTGGAGGAGGAGAGGAGGGAAGCTGTGAAAAGGATACTGGAAATCAGAGGTGAGGGAGATGAGGACACAAAGGTAGGAGACTGCAGTGTCTGACCCAGGAGGACTCCTAACGTCAACCCAGATGCCATCAAACTCTCGGAGCTTATTGAATGGAACTCTGGGGTAACCGATCCTCCTCTGGCATGCTCCTTATCCACTGCTGCAATCATGGAGTTTCTGGATAGACCAATGGAAGTTCCTACATGGCCTACACACACACACACACACACACACACACAGTTAGTAGGGAGTTGTGTGAGGATTACAACTGAAGCATCACAACATGTTTACTCAAAAGAGATGGAGGCGTACATCAGGGGCCAAGTGGCCAGTAGGGAGCTCGTGTCCAGGAGCAGGAGCAAGGAAGACATGGCCACCTTGGTAAAGTTCAAGAATTCTGTCTGGTAAAATGTCGTTACATACAATAAAAATATGCAAAATTTGCAAATTTTTCGTGAATTTCAACTAAAAATATAAGTAGCTAGGGGTGGTCAAATCCGAATTCTGAAATCCATATTTCGATTATCATATAAAATGTATAATTTTGGTCTCAGAGATTTGGAAACTCTTAACCTTTTCACTTTGCGCGCTTAAATTGACATACTCACAACTCCTGTTCTTTGCCCAGTAACGTTGTTGGAATTTTTACTTCTGCCATCCACCTCACAACTTTAAGCAGTGATCTTAAATTTGTTTGAAACCAAGCTGTTAGTCCTATAATTAAGTGAAACATTTTGATGAATTCAATTTCTTTTCCAGAGGAACCATTATTGTCCTTGTGAAATTTCCCTGCCATTCTTTTTATATGACTCTCCTAGTAAGGACTAGGACCTCTTTGCCAAGTTCTTCGAGAACTCCATTATTATTTCTTCAACAATATAAATTTCCTTTATTTTTATATTCGTCTATTTCAGCTCAAACTACTCCTTTAAAAATTATCAGGCTGTTTGTCGTCATTATACTAATTTTTTCCAAACAAATTTGTTAAATCTTAGGGTTTCCTTTTTATTTTACAACTCTTTATGTGTTCTTCCCACTTGTTCCTCTTTCTACTGGACTCAAACTACAACTATCCATTTATCATCTATCTCATTAGGTTGGATGCTTATATGAGCAATAGGGGTTGGGTGTAAACGGGACTGCCCAGTATGGGCCAATAGGCCCGCTGCAGTTTCCTCCATTCTTATGTTCTTATTCTTGTTCAACCCGTGACCTTCCTGTCTCTTTCGTCCACCTGGCCTGACACTCCTTTTTTATCCGGCGTCTTTTGTTCTACATGCTAATTATGTCACTACACTGCTTTTACATTGTTGCTTTCTTGTAAATTCCTTCTTAAGTCTTCAGTCTTCCAGTACTTGTAATATTTTGTCTCTGAACTAAGGTTTTGTGCCTCACAATCATTATTCCATTTGTTTTCCTTGCATCTTCTATAATCATTTACTTTTCATTCAATTCTCTGTACTCTACCTTAGTCATAGTCTCCTTTTACTCCTCAGTCTTTTAACAAATATTTCCACTCTAAAATTCAGTCCCATCTTCAGTTTTTACTGTAATTTTATCAGCACGAGGGTTTGGGTAGCCTCTGTTCACTTCCCAACTGCAAGATTTCTTGACGCTCTTCCTGCATCTGTTTCAAACTAGTACAGTATGTAACCAAGTTGATACCCTTTTGTATTACCCAGTATCTGTATCTCTTTCTCTGTTGTTTGAATCATGTATCTGTCACTATCAGTTGATACCTCTTGCAAAATTACAATGCTCTCTCAATTCTGCAGTTCGTTTTTCCTTGTTCAAAACCTCCTATTTGTTTGCCTCCAGTCTACTTATTATAGTGGTTTCCTTTAATGCTATCAATCAGCCGTTCTCTTTCCTTGTGCACATAAAACACGCTGTCCTCCTTTTTTGGCTCTGTACCACATCGACAGTGTTAGTTGGTTACCGTCTACCTCCCCAAATACAATTGTCACTCCTTTATTACTTTGTTTTCCAACTTCCTTGTAGCTTTATTTATCCAGAATAATTACTGATTCCTCTCTCTAACTATGTACCCTTCCTGAATGTATCACCTGGCAACTGTCACTCAGAAAGGCGTCTTTGACTTTCCACTCAATTCTACTGAGAGTGTGTTACCCGGTGAGAGTCAGCATCACTGCTTCCTCAAGTAAATCTCCTCTTACGCTCTAGATATGATCAACCCACCACCTGGTGACTGTTGTACACTCACACACACTACAGTATAGCAAAATATCTCCAACAATCTTTAGGTTAATTATTTGATAATTTCTTATTCCCTTATAATAGCTTATTAGATAAGTATTAACATAAGAAATACGAAAGTGTAATTTGCTCACTCAGGTAATGTACTGATCACACGTGATTTTGTAATGTAGAGTTGTACAAGTATAGATGAGTTTTGGTTGAAACTCATATTTGATTTTTGTATTTGTTTGGCTTTACTCATATGGCGACAGCATTAACAAATGCCTATTACCTGCTACTTATTGTTTCTTTACTATTCATGATTACTTTCAACAATATACTGCCTGCCAACTTCTTCCTACTGTTTGCAATCTGTCATCAGTGTCTAATACCTTTAATTCCTGTGTATTACTTTTGTGTACTATCTACTATTACTGTCTGCTGGACTTTGTCTACTATCTACTATTGCTGTCTACTGGACTTTTTTTACTATCTACTGTTACTGTCTACTGGGGTTGGTCTTCTATCTACTATTACTGTTCAGTGGAGTTTGGCTACCATCTACTATTACTGTCTACTGGAGTTTGTCCACTTTATACTATTACATCGTATAATTACATTCTACTTTCTACTGTTATTTTCTTCTTTCTACTATCTCACCTAACTTTCGGTCAACCTTCCCGGACTTTAACAGTACTGGAGTGAGCGGGTCCCTGCCTGGGGGTCCCGTCATTACATGGTAAAAGAACAGTTGAGTATTGCAGGTACTACACGGCACTAGAGAGGACTTGGTTCTTTGACCACTGCAGCGATGCCCATCTCAAGGTGTGGGAAGCCAACGTGGCCGTCCACAAGCGGGGGATTGAACTCGTCCGGCCGGGTGCCAAGTGTTCTGAGATTGCCCAAGAACTAAACGAAATGTTTGCCCAGTTCGGCCTTCTGAAGTACCGCACGTTTGGCTACGGTCATTCCTTCGGTGTCCTCAGCCACTACTACGGGCGTGAGGCTGGTGAGTCATGTTCTAACAACTCTTTATTTGATGATCGTAGATATAGCTTGTGTGTCAGATTTTTTATGATACCTTACAATGTGTGCAATACAAGTTGACCTTCATTTCTATATATACAAGATAATGAACACAAACTAATGTATTAATATTAATGTTTGATAACCCATACGCTACTTGTTCACCAACACCTTGATTAACTCTCGCAACATCTTTCTAGTACATTTTAACAACACGTAAATTCAACTTCTGCCTCACAAGAGCAGCAGTTTCCCACACTCACATTCAGTTTATATGTTAGAAGGCCCTGCATAAGTTACCATGTTTAAACATTATAGTATATTATTTCCAGCTCAATTTATCACCGACAGAAGAACAAGCAAACTTTTGCTGCTGAACATCTCCTTAGTTAAATTGTTAATTAGTTTTTATCGGACAATATTCTTAGAACACATTCTCTATACTGTTGGTTGTCCTGTTGAGTCTGCCGTGTTGAGTACTGTTAAGTGTGTCCTGTTGAGTACTGTTGTGTGTACCCTTTTGAGTACTGTTGGTTGTGTCCTGTTGAGTACTGTTGTGTGTCTTGTTAAATACTGATGAACGAGTCCTGTGGAGTACTGTTGTGTGTACCCTTTTGAGTACTGTTGGTTGTGTCCTGTTGAGTACTGTTGTGTGTCTTGTTAAATACTGATGAACGAGTCCTGTTGAGTACTGTTGTGTGTACCCTTTTGAGTACTGTTGGTTGTGTCCTGTTGAGTACTGTTAAGTGTGTCCTGTTAACTTTGTGAAGTCCTATTGAGTGTGTCCTGTTCAGAACTGTCGAGTAGTACTGAGTGTGTTCTGTGGAATAGATAAGAACATAAGAATGGAGGAAACTGCAGCGGTCCTATTGGCCCATACTGGGTCTCACAAGCGCAAAAGATATAGTCTTAGGATGACCTCGTTAGTCTTGTAACTAAAGCTTTTTTATATGAACCCAAGTACTTTATTAGCCTTGTTTCGATAAATTACGCATCTTGGTTTAAAATTCCTACTCATCATTACCCTAGATATATATATCAGAGTCGGATTTCTCTGTCACCGTTCTTCATCTCCTAGGTTAAGTACTTTCCACTTTTCCACATTAAATTTCATCTGCCATTTTTCAGATCATGCAAAATATTTTTTCAGATCTTCCTGTAGTTTTACCGAGTCCTCGTCAAATTTAATTACCCGCTCTATTTTTGTGTCATCAGCAAATTTACTTATGGTGCTTTCTTCGTCTATACAGTACGATGTCATTTATGTTACCCAATTGGATTTGGTGCCATTAAAGCTTACTTACTATGTTTCCTGTCCTTTAACCACATCATAATCCAATTTAGAATATCTATCAATGCCATGTGCCTCCACTTCACATATTATCTTTCGTGGGGGACCCTGTCAAAGGCTTTGCTAAAGTCGAGGTAAAGTACAGCATAATCGTGTCCAGCATACACTGATTCGAAAATATTTGAAAAGAATGATAATAGATTGTCAGACATGAACGCCCACTTGTGAAGCCATGATGGGAATCATTGATCAACTTGTGTTTCTTCAAGTGATTTCGAATTGTGTTTGAAATTATTGTTCACAGCAATTTTCCTACAATTGATTTTAAACTGATTTGACAGTCCTTAGAGATTATTGATCTATATCCCAATTTTCAACATTACTGTTAAGTGAGTCCTATTAAATGCTATTGAGTATGTCCTGTTGAGTA